TTTGTGTGTCAATACTGATCTAAGCATGCCTGATGGTTATGGTGAATATAGGTGCTCTGTGGTAATATAATTCCTCTATCACTTTTCTCCAATTTAACTATGCCACACCTTCATTCATGCAGATGTCATGATATCATTTGGTCTTATCTTAGAATAAGTAAAACATTTATGTGTTAAGATTTTAGATTTTTCCTCATTAGTCCAAAAGAAAAAAAGCAATAATACCTGGCACAAATGTGGTCACAAATGTGAATGCAAACAAAAGAGATATATAGTGACAAAACTTAGCTACAAATTATTATATGATTTCACAAATTATCAAGAATATGCTTGTTATGTTAAGATTGCTATAATAATGAAAAGTTTTGAATCCCAATAATATATTCTGTAACCACTAAGAATACATCACACACATCTGAAAAACACTGAAATACACTTTTTTTCTTTTCTTTCTTTTTTTTTTTTCTTCCAGGATGACATAAGAACAGGAACTTGGTTCACAGAAGCTCAGGTAAGGCTGAGGTGGGAACCCAAAACTGAATCTAATTTGTGGATCATTCACTATAGTGACGGGATTATCCAGACAGAGTAAAAGCATACAGATATTGTAATGACAGGAAGTAGGAAGTCTAAGCATGCGGAGGTAGCAACATATGGTCTGAAATAGCAGTAAGCAAACTTAGGCAAGATTTACTTTCCTCTGGAAGAGCTGGACTGAGTGAATTGGAACAGGGATTCAGGATGCTGCGGTCCAGCCACTGGTCTGGGAAAGGAGGCAAAACCTTGGTTATACATTTCAAAGCAACAACATTGTGCTGAAATCTTGTGTAAGCCAAGAGGAGGTCAGGAACAATATCTAGTTGCTGAGTAGAAAAACTGGCATCCAAATTTGGGTTAGGGAAAGCAAGATGAGGAACAGGAAGTGATGTAAATCAGTACAAGCACAGAGCTTAGGGGATCTTGATTTAACTCACAATTGTAGAAAGAAAAATTGGAGTGTGGTTGCACAAATGAACTGCACATTTTTTAGACTAATATCACTGATATAAAACTTTCATATTTAAATTATTGATTGTATTTTTTTCAAGTCCAAAATTGCCAACTAAACCCAAGTGATATATGATTATCCTGTAAGATATTTATTTATTTTTTTAAAAGATTTTATTTATTTATTTGACAGAGAGAGAGAGACAGTGAGAGAGGGAACACAAACAGGGGGAGTGGGAGAGGGAGAAGCAGGCTTCCCGCCGAGCAGGGAGCCTGATGCGGGGCTTGATCCCAGGACCCTGGGATCATGACCTGAGCCGAAGGCAGACACTTAATGACTGAGCCACCAGGCGCTCCTCCTGTAAGATATTTAAAAATATTTTCTGATTTTGAAATATTGACTCTGCATGTTTACAATAGCAGTTAGATATTTAAAGCAGGTCTCCAGGTCTCCAATAATTAGGTCTCCTAAATTCTCCAGGTGATTGAGAGGAAATATTTTATTTTTAAAAATTTGGGTGGCATTGTTCCATAGAAATAATCCATGTCAAAATGATTACTAATAACAGAAATCAGAATTGTTTTAAGTAAATAACAGGAATAGGCCATGAATATCAGAGATGATAACATAATAGGAATTTAAAGATGCTTACTTATGTACTTACTTTCTTTACACCATGACAAAAGGGAAGAAATGAGAACAGCAAGATGGAAGGGCACAATAATTTATTGCTGTCTACTGATTTTAATTTTTGGCCATAGAAAGGTATGTTTCCTTTCTGAGATAATGGGGAAGTCCTGATATCCTACTTGTATTCTCTCTTCATTTTTAGCAAAATTCAAATGAAAAGGTTATTTCATGTTTGATATAAGAATTCCACTATGTGTAGTAGTTGTTTGTTATAGTTAGAAGCCAGATTGCACATGGTGGTGGCCCATTGTTCTGAACATTAAGGTTGATGGGATGAAGAGTCCACAGGTAACAGAGCTCATTGGTAATGACATAATGACTATCATATAATGTGATTAGTAGTTTTATTTCAATGATCATTATAGATGTGGCTACTCAACTGAGATAAGGGTAAACAAAAGGAAGCTGCACTCTCTTCTGAAATATGGCTATTTAAGTTCAAGGTGTAGGTACAGAATCTTGCTGATCACACTCAGTATTAGGTAATTTTGAGATAGATTATCTTATGTGTAGAGAAACAATGAGGACAAATTTTATGCAAAAAATGTACATCCTTTTATAACTGTCCTCATCCTTCATGTTTTAGCAGCAAATCTATGGTGTGTTTATTACCATTTATATATAGGTTTACATGTGACAGTCTAAAGTCACCTCATTATACCCTCAAGCATGTAAGTAGCAAAAATAGCCTATTCTGATAGTGAAGTGACTCTTCAGAGATTAAAATATTTTGCTGAAATTTATTATTATGATATACATGTATCATAAGATATATATACACACATATATATGATATTTATGATATATACACTATATAAACTTTGCCACTAGAAATACAATATGACTTTCCATATAGATGATATTTTGTTTCATGGAACATTCCTATAAATGTTCCTGTTTCCTGAACTGGAAATTGAGCTTCATGGTGTAGATAAAGATCTGAACATCTTGTCAGAAGTATTTTGAGAGAATAATATTTCAAAAAACCTAGCTTGGGCAACTGTGACTTGCACACACAAGAAAACTACACCGTCTGATTCTTTCACGTATGAGGCTTCTTCCATTTCCTAAGGAGATTCCTTGGTTTGGTTCAGTAATAGTGAAGATTTTATCTCTTGTCTAATAACCGTGAGCTTCCAAAACTTCAGAAGATGTAATGAAAATCATACAGGTAATTAGTTGTTCCCAAAATGGTATGTACAGAGAATGCCCGCGTCCTCAAAATATACATAAAAAATAGCTCTAATGATAGGTGCCAAAATGGATTTAATTTCCACACGATATTTAGTGGGGAATATTTTTTTTCTAATAGAATCATGTTCATACTGAATTCTAGCAAATTATTAGGTGATCTGTTCCACAGAGTATATAAGTTTTAGAAATTATTACTTTCTTTTTCTCTCAAGACTTCCAGACTCCCCCAAGTGGATATCTGAGAAATTTAGCCAATACCTCTAAATAACTGTGACACTTCATAGTGAGCTATGATCAATCCACATCAACTTTTTTTTCTTTGTTTGAATTGAAGCATGGCACATGGAGAATTTCCCTTAGATGAATCTAGCACTCCCCTCTTCTAACCCTGTAAGTTATAATTTACTCACATGATTATTGGCTCTCTTATAAACACTTTTTCTCTCCCTTCTCTTCTTTTCCTCTAAGAGTGATATCAAACTGGCAGCCTCGTTTTAAGGACTATATTGTAGTTTGCAGAATCACTGCTATATTAAATCCTATATGTGGGATACCCAGAATGGAATGTCTGGAAATCTTGACCTTCAAATAAACAAGATAAACACAGGTTATTTCAAGGTGTAGTTTGCTCTGACATAGGAGCATCAGAATGTCTGGAATCTGCTTTAACCAATTAAGCCATTCAAGGCAAGAGGAAAATAAAGCCTTCAGCAAATCCATTGAAGGCACCATCTCCCAGCCTCCCACTGCCTGCTATCGATCTTTTTAAGTGCGGACTAATGAGTCGTATATATACCTGATGGGATGCTCTCACCCTACCACCTCAGAGGAGTTAAACTTACACAAAGAGAGAATCAACTGGGTGAGAGGGAGGGTGGCAGGGGCACATCCAGGCGGATGGCTGCATCGCCCCCTTACAAACCAGCATGATGGTCTGTCTTCAGGCAACGCGGCAGACCCCATCTCCTACTTTCCGTAACGAACCCATTAGTTCCTTTGCAGGAGATTTTCCACTCAGGTCGCTTCTAGGGCAAACGCTTTGTGTTCGCTACCACTCTGTAGTGTGAAAAGAACTATAGGGAAATGCAAAGCAGGCTCGCGGCGGCAGCTTCTTTGCGGCAAAGCATCCCTTTCCCTTCAGCTTTGGCAATTTAGGAAGAACCGAGGTTCTCGGGGAGATGGGTGAGGGGAACGCCAAGTCCAAGCACACATTAACCAGGAGTCCCTGTTTTTACCTTCTATCCACTTCCACTCACATCGCCACAACTCACCCCACTCCCACCCCCCGCCCGGGCCCCCACCTCCCAAACTACCGACACAAACACTGGTGATCTCTACAAATGGGTGGGGGTGGTGGTGGTGGTGGGTGGGGAACATTTTCTTTCTCTATGATTCTGAACAGGATCCAACCTCCATACTAAAAATACATTAAAAACAAATAAAATCAAATAAGCCAAATCCACTGGGTAGCAACTATCTCGGGAGAGAAGCAGCTGCTGGCACCTGCCTGGATACGCTGCAGTTGGAAGTGGTTCGCTTTGGTATTGAATTATTAATTTATTTATCCCCCCTCCCCCCCTCCCCCACTCCCGACTGGCAGGCAAGAAATCTCCGTCTCTTCATTTTCCCCTCCGCCCCCACCTTCGAGGAGTCTCCCACTTCTCAGTCGCGGGTCGCTCTGCCGCCCGCCCGCGGTGGCCGTCGCGTCCCTGGCCCTCGGCGGCCGCGGCGCTGCGCGGGGGGCGTCCCGCTCGCTGGACGCTCCCACTCGCGCCCGGACCGTCGCGGCCGTGGGTCCTGGCGGCGGCGGGGGAGGGCGGGGGAAGGCAGCGGGTGACAGATGTACTCCTCTGACAGCTCTCAGTATCAGCCCAGTGGCTCCCTGCCATTGGCTCAGTGCAATGGACCGGCAACGCCGCTCACTATAATAACACTCATGCCTGCCAGCAGCCGCAACTCCGAGTGCGGGCTCCGAGCGCGGGGGATGCTGCTGCCGCCGCCGCCGCCGCCGCCGCCGCTGCC